TGAATTGTAATAAAAATATTCAATTTATTGTTCTATCATATAGTTATGAAATGATATTGAATCTGTTTCAAACAGACAGCGTTGTACGCTGAGTAGTATGAACTAATTTTGCACTACTGTAATATGAAAAATATTGTCATATTACCAACAAAAACACATAATAGTTTCTCATTTACGTGTACTATGTACTTCCTATTTGAAAATGAATAATCTATATTATCAGTCAATGTGAAAATAGCATATTTTATTTTACGATACACAATTGTTTTGTACTATACGTAGATAGATAGATTGATATTTTCTCAATGAATCTTTTCAAACGATAAAACATCGATTATCATTGAGTTCAATAGTTCTCTTTTTTGAAATATTGAATATGTGCAAAGAGATTTATTTTGTATTTATAAGAAAAAATGAAAAATTATTTGAAAAATACACTATGGTTTTTTACCTTACTATCTATCATATAATATTAACACTAGAGAAAGAGTAAATATTGATTTTATAACTATATGACGCTTGGACTTTCAATGAGTCATAAACAACTCTTTCATGGAAAATGCAATTGTGACGTGTATATTTTTCTGAAGAAAATTTCAAATAATGAATCATATAGCATACATGATATCGAAAAGAAAAATTATTATTAAATACATTTCATAAACGAAATAGTAAATGTCAAGTCTTCGAAAAAACAGACTTTTGTCTTAATCTATTATATATACACACGCTAACATTAATAAAAATTAGTTTTTTGAGGGTTTTATGAGACCTTACATGCCCTAAAAATTTCAGGTTATTTGGATCATTGTATGTTTAAGATCGATTGTCGAGTGGTGAGGGGGGGGGCTTAAACGATCATAAACTTGCGTATTTGTACTTGTAGATTGCATTTTAGCAAACTTGAACGTAAGCATCAGAATAATAAACAATCGATTCATATAGTATTAAATGTTCTGACCATTGTTAGTATCTTTCTAAGTTGTTTATAATTTTTCAAATTTATTCTTAGGTCTTCAGTAACAAATCTCTCAAATTCTTTGAGTTTATTGAAGATGACAGGCTACAAAACGACAGGTGACAATTCTAAATTTTTAAAAATCCAAAAATCTATTGTAACATGTCATAACATAAACTTGATTTTTCTAATGTATTCGCATTTCTTTGAGAGTGACACCGTAAGAAATAGAATGTTTCTCTAATAAATTATATTATTCATCAAGCCTGCATTTTAGTTGTATTTGCATATAATTATTGTACCGATATTTACAGAATTTCAATAAATATTGTAATCAAAGTAGCAAAAAGAAAACATATACGTCATAACCGATTATAGAGATTTGTTAATTTATCATGATACGTTCTTCATTAATTCTTATATAAAAACGTAGGATATAGTTTCGATATGTCATTTTTCCGATTTATCAGTGGAATCATTTAGATCACGATGCTGCTCTTTTATAGATTTGATTTCTGGAAGATAACATAAACTTTTGTTGTTGATTAAATGCATAAGTAAATTTTAAATTGATCTTGAGTCCATTGTACAGTACTAATCTGTTTTTTATATGATATTGGATATGAACGTGCATAAAACCAATAAAAGGTGCAATAATAAATGCCATTGGAAGAGCAATAGAAAAACTAAGATTTGATTCAAGTTCAAATGCAAATAACAAATTTGCAAGTATACAAAAACTAGAAAGTCCAATTTTAATCATTGGATAAAATACTATTAATGACGTTACCTCTTCTTTCTTATATCACATGTGCTTGAATTTTTCCATTCCTATCTATTATATATGTTCGATCTTTTCTTTTCGTTCTCTATGTGCCATAGTTTCATATGTATTATATTTAATAAAATTTTTCCGATTGTTCAACTTCGATCATACGCTGGATATTTCCTAAAGATGGGTGATGATTTTTCATAAATAAAGATAGAGAGTTAGACACTGAACACCAGTCAATAAGGCTGTAACAGGGCTAAAAACGAATAAAAGGAAAAGAACAGAAAAAAGTCTGAGATTCACATCGTTTCTATGGAGATGTATTAAGATAAGCGGCATAGACTAAAGATACAAGATAATAAAAAAATTACTTTTTTCTGTTTTCTATCGGCTTAGAAATACTTAACGTTTTTCTTTCCATTACTTCATTATATAAAAAAAGTGACGACATACTCAGAAAAAAAAACCAAGAAATATTAAATACAACTATTTTTGCGCTCATTTATTATGGTGAAAATCTTTTTTTATAATTTTTCCCTGCAATTTCAGTCGACCAGGATGTTTTTCTTCTTCTACACGTAATACAGCTAACCTTTTTATTATATAGATAATTATCTGTTTGTTCTATCCTTTTTTCCATTCTAATATAATAAAATCACTATCTTCTTGCTAGCAACTTAAAACAAGCGTAGCCCTTACCAATTTTATGAGATAAAATAAATGTTTTTCAGTAGAGAATATTCTTATTTAGTCGTTTAGTTGCGATTTCAAAAATATGATTCTTGTTTGTTTAATTGAGAAATAGAGATAGATTTTTATTCCATTGTCTTTAATTAAGATATATCAGTAAGTTCTTACCTTTCATATTCGCTTGAGATGTATAAACAGATTCTTCTTCTTGTTTAATTAGCATACAGGAAAAGGTTTTAATAAATGGGTATAGATGTCTTTTTTTCCTAAGTGAACCTGTTTTAGGTATAAGATAGATTTGATATACTCGTTTACGGTATAGAAGAGCTTCTAAATCCTCCAGATAGTTATATAAAAGAGTTTATAAAAGTGCAACGTATAATAAATCATTTACCGATCTCTTATTCTACACATTTTTTACAATGTATCAATCATCAAAAAATCCAGTATAATGGTTACAACTCCAGAAGAAGAGTAGAGGAGTAGGAATCCTTCTAGAGTAATCAAGAGGTTTTTCTCTCAGGATGTTCTATGTAGCTGTTACTAAGAGCGTCTCTGGATAATCTTTAAAAAGTTATTATTGTTACTCATCGATAGCTTTTTATATAAGAAAAATGGTAAAATGTGGATCTTGAGGATGTGGATGTAGCTAATACATGAATAAAAACACTCATATCCGCACTCTTAAGATGCTGCAAAGCTAATAAACTATTTTGTCCAGAAAGACTTCCCAAAAGCAGCATCATAAACTTATTTTCTACCATCAATCCAGACATAAATACGATTGTTTCATTGAGAATTTTTATAGTTATTATATATATTAAATGACGTGAAAGATTGAGAGACTCAAGAGGCTTTCATTGTTTTTCTAATGGATATAAAAATAATGTTATCAAAATATCAAATACTAAACAAAAGACATGACCTTTTCGAGTTCTAATGATTTAAATAGTATAAAAATATAGAAACAATGTTACAAATGAATAAGTCAGATTTTACTCTAATAAAAACAGCAGCTATTCATACTACTCGAAAAAAATATTACATTATAAATATTCATTTCATATATAAACAGCTTCTCTACTTCCTACCAGTACTTCAGCTACATTCATAATAAAAGTATCTTATTACATTTTTATCATGCATCGATTGGATACGTCTATACACACAGGCAGTTAACCATGAGATGATACGTGAGAAATGATATGCAAAATAAAAGAGTAGACGTGGATTCACATATAAAAAAAGTAGGAAGTGAAAAGGTTAACATTAAACGTGTAGCAAGAAAGAAAAAAAAAATCGAATGTGCAACAATCGTCGGCGTTATACCATTTTTCAATAGCTGTTTATTACTTAGACTAGAAGGTTTGAAGGTAGGAGAATATTTCTAGTTCACAAAATATCCCACTAGATCTGCTTGATGCATTACTTGACAAATATTCACAAGTTTAATTAATGATAAATGTGAGAATAATCACTCCGACTAGATACCTGTCATGTCCACCGGACATGATATACTCTCTTTCCTCTTTCATGCATCTGCTTGCATTCATACTCCTCGCCCTTTTTCCCTCTTTCTCACACATATACATCCCCACTCTATCTTCCATATATTTTGTATGTTTTTTACATTTCGTCTCGTGCTCTTCTTCGTTCTATATCATATACACATTCTTTCTTCGTTTCATCTTTTATGATATAGCTTACGCGTGATGATATGTGCTTATGGTATGCTTCACTCCTTTCTGTTTTTTCTTGGAATATACACGATGAGATATTCATCACAATACCGTACTTCTTTTTTTATTTACCACTTAAGTTCGATCACCAGTTACTCAAGAATTGAGCCGTGCTTCTAAATTCCTAGTATGAATTTATCTAATATCTCTTAGAGTATCGACGAGAAGACACTGATAAAGTGAGCACATGTTGCATCGATCCTCAAATCTTTAGAAGGATGAAACAACGAATGCAACTAACTTCACAAGAATCTTCGAGTTCCTACACAAGCGAATGATCAGAAATTGATTCAACTTTTACTAATGATCTTACTATCAACATGTGCTCACAATTAATATATAAATAACAAAAGAAATTTGAAAAAAATAAGTGACAATATTTTTTAATTCTTAGTCGTGTTAATATAAGTTTAGTCAACCCTTAATATATCCTATTTGTGTATAACTCATTGTCAAATAAGTGATCTT